ATATATTTATATATATATATATAGGGCACGTGTGGCGCAGTGGTGGGAGGAACCCTGCGCCACGCACGTGGAATCGATCCCCGCGCCCATGGTCCAGCAAGCCTTCCATCCCTCCGGGGTTGGCATATTGGTACCAGAGTTGTCTGGGATGATAGCAGCACTGGTTGGATACATCGGTAGGCCAGTACGGGTCACTGTGTAGGTCAGATATGCATGCAATCACCTCCAGACGATGCTTAATGGAGTCGAATGCATAGCGCATCCCTCAACTATTGATCGACGCCGAGAGTTTTATCCTTTATGTATATATTTATTTATATGATCTTATAAACTGATCTTCTTAAGCTGATGCGAGGTTGGTACAGGTCTTCGTTGTCGTTGTTGTTGATGTGTTGATGGTCCATGGCTGACGTTTCGGCGACTTCGCCTTCCTCAGAGCCGTGATGTTACGTGTAGGACCAACCTCGCATCAGCTTAGGAAGATCAATTTATGAGTTCGTATAAATATAAATAAATATATCAACTATCTGTGCCGAGGTTTATAGAAAGTCGGTCTTTCAACCTTTGTGTATATATATATATATATATATATATATATATATACATATATTAGACATATACATATATATGTATATATATGTATACATAAACGTACATATGTATATTTATACGTATGTATATATTTACACACATATATGTATGTACACATATAGTCTCTATGTATACTTAAACATACATATGTGCATACTTTTACATATGTATGTATTTACACACACATGTATGTATACATATGGTCTCTGGTTTCCGAGAGGGCGATGAAAGACGTTTCTGGCTTTGAATCTCGGAGTTGTTCGTGGTGATCTTTTCCAGTATGCGTAAACTTATCACGGTTGCAGTAAGTTTACTCCGGCCTTCAATTTTCTAATGTCTTTAACAAATTCACTTAAATATATTCTATCAATTTTTAGCCGTTTTTCGTTAAGTTGCCATGCTAATTCTGCATCTAGTTAAAGTTCTTACTCATCCATCTACATACTTCTTTGATTAAATAAGGTCTTCTCGCAATTTCAGATCTCTACAAGCAAAGATAAAGGTTTAATTCGAAAAACACCACAGATTTAATAACCGATTTATGGTCCGCACATTACCTTTAAGCTAACTAAATCAGATTTTTTGAGCTATAGTGTGTAGATGAAAAAATCTGTTTGATGGCGCTCTCTTCTTGTTTGACATCATCACAGCAGACACCACTTTTAGTCGAGAAGTGCGGCAGGTCAGGTCAGAAACAATGGAGTGTTGATTAGGATGACTACTCTTACAGTACGTACTTTTAGTGGTTTCTATTTTATCGATTAACTTACTACTATGTTATGTCCTTAAACCTGTTACGAAACTCATCTTTGAAATTTCGGCAAGATATCGTAATAATCTTGTGGTTAACATCTCGTCGCATTTCGCAAGTGTTGGAAGATTTGCAACAAATATGTTGTTGCTGTGTGTGTCTACAGTAAGCGTTAGACAAAAGCGTGTATTCGGAATAGAAGGCTGGTTCATTGTTGTAGTTCGTTCTGTTTTGATGTACGATCCGAATCTTTAGTCAAACTGTTGCAGAAAGTTTTTCGAATGTTTCGAGTTCGTTCTCTGGGTATTCGTTGCTATAATGTGGTATCAAGTGAAATGTTCGGCCTATGTCATCTCGGATGGCTAGTGGGGATACCCTTGCACTAGAAGTAGATTGATAACTCATTTGTAACTTTCAAATGAGGATGAATAAGCGCTTTGAGAGAGTTTAGCTTCATAATGGAGCGGTTACATATGTGGACATTGAGTGGTGACTAGTACACATTAATTCATGCCTATAATAACACCCGACATTAGTAGTGTTGTTTTCTACTTTTGACCGAACTTGTTTTAGACATTAAATGTCACTCTTGAAGAAAGGCGACTACTCTTCATTAGTAACACACGCCGATTTGTGATAAATATGTTCTGCTTTGTTATTAGTGGAAGGACAAGCGTAGTAATATTATTATCAGAGTGTAATAACTCTTACGGTTTACAGCAGTTCTCGTCACCGTTTTGGTAACGACTGTAGGGATAGAATATAGAAAAGTAAGGAAGGGAATTGTCATCTTAAAAGAGTGGGAAGCACGCTTTACCGGTAAACACCAAGGGAGCTACGTGGCGAGATGGCCGAGTGGTCTAAGGCGCTGGTTTTAGGCACCAGTCCCTTCGGGGGCGTGGGTTCGAATCCCACTCTCGTCAAGTGTTTTGATGTCGGATAGAATGTTGAGACTCCGATTTAAATCAAGAACGAGGAGTTTCTATGTATATTCCCAGGAGATTGCATCTTACAAATCCAAATGAAGAATCCGTTGAGGACTTCACATGGGAACGTTGTCCTTCTTGCTGAACTGTTTTTTTCGTTGTTTCTCTGCACCTTTGTACAATGTAATAGCATCGCTTCACGTCATCGCATTATCTCCTACAAACAGAAGGTTCTTCTGTGAAATGATGGCTAATCTCATTAAGTGCTTTGTCGGTTTGCTTTCATCTCAAACCGAGCCTGTAATTAGAAACAGCTTAGGTCAAACACCTACATATGAGTGGCATATAAGACGCTCGCAGCATCCAACATGGCATTCCTACTCAACTCATTCAACTGCATCTGCTGTTTCAGAATCGATCCAATCCACTCATCTTGGGCATTATAATCCGATAATTACATCTAATAGTTAGAAGAATTCTTATCGTGAGTGGAATAGAAATGTGCTTATGTTGGCGATTAATATTTTATCCTCCCACAGTTCTTCATTAGCCTGGTTGCTTTTTAAACCTGTTATATTTGAATATTGTATTACCAACAGCATTAGTGTACAAGACGTTAAGCATCATCTGTTTACTGTTGAGCTTAGCCTGCTGTTCCATACCGCGGGCTATGTTTGAATTATCAATCGTTCCTTCCTGCTTGCTTCCAGCACTTGACCTATAACCAAAACCAGTTTTCTTTATTTCGTTTCACAAAATTTCTTATTTTGTTGTTGTATGCTTTTTAATCGCATTTGCAGGGCATAGTTGGGACAACTTCATCTGGTAAAACCTCACTCGTTCATCGATATCTAACAGGAACTTTTACAGCGGAAGAAAGTCCAGAAGGTTAGTGCTTTTATTAGCACTTATGATTTTAATTCTTATATCATTTTTTATTGTTTCATCGTCAGAAATATTAGTGTCTCCGTTACTCGAAAAGTCTGATATCTTGGTATCAAAACGTATTCGAGTATCTCTTATTAAGGCCTTAGTTCTTTTATGGCGGTGCAATTTCCCGTGAGCTGTAAAATCGTTCTTCTTTGAAACGACGCGTCATATATGCATATTACGCAAGCCTTGCCAATCGCTTTCTATTGTTTTACCGGAAGTAACGTTTTTGAAAACGTCGGAAATTAAAGTACTTCACTCACTTTCTTCACTTCAAAGGATTCTACTATTTTTATTTTTCATTTTTTAAAATTGCCCTTGATTAATTCAACATCGTCAGTGTCAAGTGAGGAGAAGTGCCGCCTTTTCTTCTGTTTCTTTCCTGTTATTTTTTGATTTAGTGGGAAAATTAGTCGAAAATTTGTGCAATGATACACTGTTGAATCTGTTGACATTTAGATGTTTGTAATTCAAGAAACTGTCTGTATTTGTTGAGGCGTTGAAAGGAAAAAAAAGGAGGCGCTAGTTTAAGTTGTATGAAATACTGGGTGCTCAAACATTCAGCGCGGATTTTCCGACCCCTCCACTCCTGTTTTATCGCCATTTGGTTTATGAGGGTGGCAACTGACCACTAGAGTCAACGATCAGTGCCTGCCTGCTCATCAGAGTTAATCCAACAATGACTTTCGCCAAATCAGATCATTTTGGTTCTTTATTTCTTGGGTTAACTTCCGATCCGCTTCTTCGGAGGCATCAGTTTACTTGACGATTTCTTTTACTAGAATTCCTAAACCTTATTTAGACATGTTGGTCATATTATTAGTAAAAGTTGAGTGTTATAACGTTAAGACGTCCGGGTATAGCCTATGTTTCAAATTTTCCTTGAACCCACAATTTTTTGCTTTTGGTAGTAAACTTGGCATGTAAAAACCGATGTTCTTACGTTATTTAACCAATTGTCGACTTTTATTCTGTTTCCCTTCTATTCATCTAGCTTTTTTTTTGCTGCTTTTTACTTTAGAAAGATACATTTGTGCAACAGTCAAGCCTATTCTGTTCCTTTTTTGGAACTATTCGATACTTCCTACTGGTGTCATTTTTTATTGGTGATTTCAGAGTAATGTTTTTTTTTCAGGCGGAAGGTTTAAAAAAGAGGTCTTCATTGACGGTCTAAGTCATCTGCTTTTGATTCGTGACGAGGGTAGCGCTACACCGGATGTTCAGGTTACGTTGTACTATCATTACCGGAGCATGTTTTCAGTACTAATTCGTTAACCGAACAGCATTTTGCTTTGCTGTTTTCGAAATGTTGTTCGATCACGAATTTTTGTATTAATTTACAAATCTTGTTTTCTGTTTTCTTTTCATCTTAGAAATCTTCTGATGATAATTAAGAGGGATTGGAAATTTTGCAAATCTATAATGAATCTTACAATGCAGTGGTCCGTCCAATGGTTATGCGGTATCAACCTCTTCTGTTTGGTTCACTGAAATTTCCTGGATTCGACGGTTTGATTTTGTCTAAACTAGAACTGAGAAGGTCTCTTGCAGCTGGGCAAACTTCGAGGGTTACCTGCTTTGTGGACGGGTAGTCTTGTGGTCCTAAGTTTTCTGTGAACAAATGGCGTAATTATGATGATGTTAATGTCAAGATGGGATCAAGACCTCAATCTGGCGCTTCATTCCTCGATAAGTAGTTGTAATTAAACTTATGGCCGATGCTGGCATTTCATTTGGTCTTAGTTCTTCACGCATTCTTCCGTCAGTTCAGTTTTATGTTACTGAAAAATTTATTTTGTGTTGTAAAATAGCTATTAGCTTTAAGACCGCTTCGAACTGGTATGTTAAAATTTATAGGTGCCTTGCACAGTACATACTTGGCCGTTCGTTCGATTCCTCACCTTGGCCCCACCAAGCCATCCATCCCTCCGGGTATGCAAAATTGCTACCGAGCTTGTCTGAGAGGATAGCAGCACTGACTTGATACGTCGTTGTTCCAACACAACTCATTTTATGAGTGAAATGTGCATTCATTCACATCTAAAAGATTTCAATGAAGTCGAATGCATGGCGCATCCCTCACGGATTGGTCATCGCCGGGAGCTTTGTTTCTTTAGCTTATAAGCTATAAGTTTGCCTTTTAGTTGCTGTTTTTTCTTCCATTTCTGAAGGGTTTTCGTTCAATGGAATCGGATTAAACATAAAAGAAGGCAGTGACATCTCCTTTTACTTTTTATAAAAATGAAAAATTGTTTGGGTTAAATTCGATTTGTTTTTGAAAGTGAAGCACAGCCTGTTGCAGTTTTCATTGTGGGTGGACGCAGTGATATTTGTATACAGTGTAGACAATCAGGAAAGTTTTGAACGTGTTCGACACTTCTACAGTCATATGAATAAGTTCCGAAACGTTGCCGATATGCCGGTGTTGTTGGTAGGAACCAAGGTGACTTTATTCTTTGGCTTTTTTAAGTTTGTTTTTTTCTATCTCTTTTTGGCACTTTGATCCTAACAACTTTATTGAGATATATGCGTTACGAAGCTTTTCTTGCAATGAAGATCTTATTTTCTTCGCTCTTGATCTTTTCATTGTAATGAGATAATGAAATGCTCGATGTAGGACACTTTGTCGGAGAAAAACCCGCGGGTGATCAGCGAAGAGGAAGGCAAACAGATGGCAAACCATCTGAAACGATGTGCTTACTACGAGACCTGTGCCACATATGGATTGAATGTGGAGCGAGTGTTTAAAGATGGTACGTGTTTTAAAGACTACTTGCTCTTATAGTAATAAATTCAAGTGTGACATGTAAGTGTTGGATTTAGCTTTTTTAAGCATAGTTTTCTTCATTAGTGTTGCGTATGTCAGAAATATGAGAGGTGTATAATTCACTTTTAAATTTCACATTTCTTTCCTGAAAAAGCAAGGAGTTTATTTCGCCATAATCCTTGTTGCCCACCTATGTTCCTTATCAATGATTACATGGAAATTTGTGATGGTAAACAAAACACTTGATAGTTATCTCTACTTACCCGGCTTTGTTGGCGTTATAACGTTAGAATTGTACCGTAGCAACCGTTGATCTGTGAGTCTTGTGATGAGGATTTTCTTGGTGATGGTTCCGTGGGAATTTGTACCAGAATTGCATGAGAAACTAGACAAAAATGGATCCTGTTGTATACATCGTAGTCTGCCGTTTGCAATTGGGGACTTGCAACGCTGAGGAACGTTCGAAAACGTGTTCCCATAACAATAATGGGACGGTGGAAGGTCGGTATTTGTCAGTGTATAAAAACTGATACAGTGTACTTCACTACGTCTTTCTATTAGCTCTTTATAGACTGTGTTCTTGTGAACTGATTTTTTACCAGTAATTTAAAGCTTTCTTTTTTGAGATACGTGTAGCACAGTGGTTATAGATAGCCTGCAATAAATATGAGGTCGTTGGTTCGATCCAAGACCTCGGACTTAGCAAGCCCTCCATCCTTCCGGAATCTACAAATTGGTACTAAACTTGTTTGGTAGGATGGTAACACTGACTGATGGATAGGCCACCGCAAGTCACTGTATAGACCAGACAATCCATTCATACACTTAAGCACTTCTAATGATGCTTGATAAAGTCGAAGTAGTTATTCGTTTTGTTTCTCGTTTCTCAATATTAATTGATCATCCGGGACATAAAATTCTAGAATAGAAGGGAATGTTCCGAAATTTTAAGAATATTTCATATTTTTCTTATGGATCTAAAAGGATCAACAGAGCAATCTCCTTATAACTTACGAATTCCGTCTATACCCTTTGATAACACGTTTTTTAAACAAAAGGGTGTTGTTATAATCTGAAAGTTTTTTACGTTTACTTCTTTAGCTTTCAACAGTTTTAAAATAGATTGAGTAGCGTCGCATTTGTGTCAGCTTCTCTTCGATTGTTGATTTGTTTTTATCACTGTCGAACAGCGGAGACTATAAGTTGGCCACGCAAACTATGACCGTTATCACTCGTGTTATCATTGCTCGGTGCAGAGACCTTCGGTGATGGGAGACACGTGCGATAAGCTGAGAGCAGTAGAGGCGACAATGAAGTCAAGTCGGCGCTCATCCATCGACAATGGATGGACGGGTCATTACGTCGAGCAGATTTGTTAATGTATATTGTGGCTTGGTGGCGTGTGGGGCGCACGTTAGCGTTAATTCGTTCGAGTGCTCGCTGAGCAGTTGACGATTGACTGTGCATATGGCCCGGAGACTTCAGCTGTTCCTACCTGCTAATTGCAAACCAATTTCGATCCGTTCTACTGCTGCACCTACACCTGTTTTTTTTTTCTGGTTGGTTCCTTATTACTATTTGTACTAGGAACAACTCTTCAGTAATCAATCAGCATTGACCACCTTCACAAGAGTGACGATACAGCAAGAAATAATTGTGTTTTGCTCGGTCTTCCTTACGATTTCCTGGGAAGTCGGAAATATTCACGAAATTTTGCTGTTTTTCTTTGTTCATTTAATGGTATCGAGAACGAAATCATTCCATTTTCTGAGTTATAACCAACGTCACCAACTATTTTAGTCGTTTTTGAATAAATTCTCCACGGCGCGTTTAGTTCCCAGTCCACTGTGAATGAGTTCCTACGTGTAAATTGTCCTTTTAGGCCTACTTACTTGCATTGCTCAAGCAACAGTACGAAACTATGGTGGTCAGCAGAGGGTTTCTAAATAAGATTGGCCGGAAAATCTTCGAATCCTTGGAAGTAGAATCAGTTTAGGGTGCTTACAAACGTATCAAACTTGTTTGTTCATCGTTCTACGTCTTTTTTTTTTATTACTTTTTCATTTATCATTAATTATTTCCATTGTAATCACAACGTTTTACTTTTAATTTTTTGCCTACTGCAGTTTTCACGGCAGGGCACTAAGCGAAATACAACCACAATGTTGCTGAGATATTTGCAAAACTCTGGACCACAGGTGTCTAAGGTGGGGAACGAACGCACTATTATCCTTTCACGGAAGTAACGCGTTCACCACCACACCATGCAGGTCTTTCGTTTCTCTTGTCTCTCAGCTGGTTCTATTTCCGTTGTAATATAGGCCACAACTAGTTGGTGAAGAATGACATTCTTTATTTCCGTCACTGATTTCCGCTGCACTATTGTCTATGACTTTTACATATGGCCGTAAGTGAGGATCCGGATCATCACTATTGTTCGCACTTTCGCCTCTTAGCTTACACGAACGACATCTGGCCCCGAATTTCAGCGTCTATTCCTAGTAATTCAAGCTTTAGTGCTTTTCTGTTCATTCCTGTTAACAAAGGCGGAATAATATGGTCTCCTTATATTTTTGCATGCATTTATCTCATTTAAATTGATATAGTCTTTGTATGAGATGTGCTGTTCGAGAACTGCTTCAGGTGTAAGTAGTTTTCAATTCGTCGAAGAAATTTCATGGGAAAAATAGCCCTAGGAAAAGTTTTTCGAAATGATCCAGTTTTGTTCTCTTACCTCGATCCAACTTTCTAAATCTTTCTTCTTTTTGAAAACCGTTGTCCATTTCAAATTTTTCACGATATCGCCTCGCTATAAATTAACTGCGAACCCATCGTGATAGCGTTGAGAATTGTTGAGAGTCCTCAGTCTTTCGTAAGGTGCACCGACTTCTAATCATTAAATGTAAAAAAAAATTGAATGAATTGGAATTGATGTTTTGATCAGCGTGTGCAAGAAAGAAGAAAATGGCTAGATGAAGGGATCTCAAATGATTTTCATACCATATATGGTGATTTCATTTGTTTACTTTAGAAAACTAGCATAAGTTGTTTCCTTGCTTAGAGTTCTTATTTCCTTTCATTCGGCTTATTCACTTTGTTAACCGATCAGACCGTTTTGCGAAGTTGACTGATACATGGCTATCTAACTGACTGACTGTATATGCAGGGACTCTTTAAAAGTGTTTTGTCTAAATGCTCGACACTGGGATTGCTTTATTAGTAGCAGCGCGGTGATGAAGGTCCTCATGCTTCTTAATTTCCCCACCAAACGTGAGTGTACCATGTTGAGATGTCCGTGCACCCACTTGAGACTATGAGCGCCTTTTTCGCCTACGATTCACAGTTGATTGAGTGTATGTGATCATCGTTGTTTCGATGGCAATTTGGCAGCTTTGAGTTTGACACGAATAGAAGTCGGACTGAAGAATGATCTTCATTGTTGTTTTGGAAGATTGTAGAAAAAAAATAGCGTAATTCTATATATTGAGCCAACAGCACGTCGTGCATGGCGCTCAATTGTGAACGATGTTTGCTCAGTGGGAGGCGATGTTTGATATCTAGCGACTATTCATGTTTCGTCACTTGCTACATTCATGAAGCGTTTATTTCCTCAATGAGTCCTTCATTATAATATTTTGAGCATATTTTGTCACTTGACTCGACATCACTTCATATTGAGCTCATTTCATTTAATCGTTAAGTATCCCATGAACACTCTGCCTGATCCTCCCATATCGGCGTTCGGCCATTAAGGGCGTTTTTTTTTGTTAGATTGACAACAGCGATTTGTTTAAGGCTAATTAGATAGCACGGACATTCGCTCGTTTTCTTTCTAAGTCAGGAAAGCTTTTGTATTTTCACGACAGATGAGTTGTTAGAAAATTTATCTGCGATGAATAAAGCATAAACGTCTGTGTTTGTTTGCCTCAATGACTCATCATGAAGACTGAACCCTCTACTCTATCCCAACTTAGTAGTGATGCAACTTATATCTGGCTGATGATCTGTCTTAATATGTTTGTTTTCTACTGAAAACATGGTGCAGTGGTCGGAGGCGCCCTGCAGCACACACATGAGGTCGATTCACGCGTCCGTGGCTCACCAAGGCTCCCAGCTCTCCGGGGTGGGCGATTTGGTACGAGACTTGTCTGCGTGGGTAGCAGCACTGGCTCGATACATCGGTAACCACCGCGAGTCATTGTAAAGTCCAGATATACAATCACCTTCAAGCAGTGGTTAATGAAGTCGAATGCATGGCGCATCTCTCAGGAATTGATAAACGCCGGGAGCTTTATCTTTATCCTTTTTATAACGAAAACATTAGACCTCAAGTTATTATATTATGTAAAGTGCAGGTAGTCTCGTTATGAAAACGTAAATATTTTGTGGATTTTGTTCGTTTGCTGGTTTTCAAGATGCTGGTATATTGTGGTCGTTGAGCTTGTGAACCCCTGAGATGGGTTGGATTTCGGAATAGAAATGCGGAACCCCCTCTCGGTCAATGAAACCCTACTTGATGGACAAACCACCGCATTTTATTACAGTCCCTAACCCAAGAACACCAACAACCACAATGGAAGCGGTTAGTGGGACAATTGCAATAATACTTTATCAAATTCAATTTCATATTACTGCTTTCTAATTTTGCTCTTCAACGCACTTGTTGATTATGGCAGGAACAAATTTGGCAAGCTCGAAGTATTTGCGCCAAAATTAAGGATGTAAGAAACATTGAGAAAGATGTATTTCCTACTCCTATGCTTTATGAGGTAGAAAATATCAATCATAATGAGTTGATGAATAGAATTTCACCATTCATGTTTGAAGAAATTGCTCTGCAACATAATTTTTGCGTAATCGTGTCACCGTTTAAAACTAGTTCTGACTGAATCACGTTCATATGACTTTCTCATATTTGATTGTTGAGTTATCTTTGTAGCTTGCTGTAAAATTCTCCAACAACGTCACCGAGCCTCGTTCGGTAGTAGCACGCGCACGCCCACTCCAACCACACCGGC